TGCGCTTGGATTCTTAACTTCACTTGTGTTTCTAATTTTTTTTCTCCTCCCAGTGGGATAGGATGGCTAGAAGGGCCTAGAGTTCAGCATATTTCAAAATGGTTACTTTTCTTCTTCCAATTCCAGGAAGTGATTATTCTCTGTAAGGATCTGGTAGAGTTCCTGTAGGTTAAACTCATAAAAGTGTAGAGGCTCTTTTCAAACTGTATATCCCTGAAATTTTTAACTGTCTGACTTGTCTACACTGAAGCTCCAGGAATTCGTCATTCGCAGCTCAAATTTTCATATTTCAGCCTAGTTTTTGCTCTTTGTGTTAGTAGGCCTCAGTTCTGGTAAGTTGTGATTCTCTGTATATTTTCATTTCTCTCTTTCCAGCTTTGAGGACAGCAGTTTGCTCTGTTTTCCTTTCTCTGGTGAATAGGGAGAGTTGCTGATTTTTCAGTTTGTTTAGCTGTTTATTTTTCTAGATCACAGTAGTGACTTACAGGTTCCTCAGATGTCAGACTAAGAAACAGAAATTGATTTTCTTTTAATAGTCATTGCAATTACTAGATGATTATCTGTATCTTTTTTACTTTTGGTTTTATGCCTTCCTGTGGTGGGTCTGTGGAAAGTCCAAGGTATTTCCAAATCTCTCTAACTTGGATGGTCTAGAGTAGGCCTTTGGGAAATGATGGAGAACCTTTCAATGATAGAAACAGCCTGCTGCAGCCTGTGTGCCATCAATTTGGCACTATTGCTTTAGGCCATGTGTTTTAGTCCTGGTATACCAACTTTTTGGTGTCTCAGTTGGATGCTGGGGCTCTTGTCAAGATCTCTCCATTTGAGTCAGAGATCCAGTGTCTGTAGCTTACTCTTTCTGGGTAGAGAATTCTTCATTTTAAAGATTTATATGTTGTGCTGTTCTATAAATTTTTTTAGAGGGAGGATAATTTAGGGCTTGTTAACAGGAATACCTTTTTTTTTTGGTAGTACAAGGGATTGAATCCAGGGTCTCATTTGTTAAGCAAGTACTCTATCATTGAGCTACACCCCTAGCAGCCCTCCAGGGGTGCTTTTTTTTTTTGAGACAGGGTATTGCTAAGTAGCTAAATTGCCCAGGGTGGGCTCCATTTGCAGTCCTCCTGCCTCAGCCTCCCAGGGTTCTGGACTTATAGGTCAGCACCCCTGTGCTTTGTGCCCAGTGCAGGGATATTCCTTTTTTTTTTTTTATTTGGTACCAGGGATTGAACTCAGGACTTGTGAGGCAGGCTCAGCACCACTGAGCTAAATCCTTGGCCCAAGGATATTCTTAATAGGGGTTGTTTGCTGCCATCTGAATGTTTTCTCTGGTTGTGAACAGATGAGAGATTTGAAGGATATTAGCAGAATTGGGAATACATTGGGTATAATGATTGATTTTATGTGCTTGCATAGTCTGAAATTTAGAATACTTATGGGTGAGATAATGGTAATTTGTACAAATAAGGAGACTTACATATTTTGTCCATTGATGTTGTCTAAAATAGAACATCAGTTTCTGCAATGGTATTAAATAACACTTATATTCAGTAGTAGTGAGCAATAATTGCTTGTCTGCTGAGGCACTCTTCATTACTAGCTGGACCATGCATGCTGGTAGTTTCTGCAGCCACCACACACATGGTCTTTTTCTTTGTGTGATTATGCATGTGGCACTTGCCTCTGAAAAATCATTTCCTCATAGACAAAGCCATCAAAACTGTCAATGTCAGCATGTCATGTAATCAGCTTATATCTTTTTCTGTAGCAATGTGATTTATATGTCTTAACATGAGGTTCTACCAACTTGTGCATACAATGACATTTATGACTCCATCAAAAACTTGAGTTACTCCTTAGTCTCAGTGTTCATTGCTGACATGCTAAATATTGAATTCCCAAGAGATCAGCCTTTTACTGTTCAGGATGTGGTCATATTGATAAATAAGACAAATGGTGACAGAAGAAAAAAAATCAACTTTATTACTCAGAAACTCTTAAGTGGAGAATGTTGCTTACTAGAGCAAAATGGGGTTGTTAACTTGACTGTGGAGTTTGGCCAACTGACTGAGTCATTGGCTAGGCCATACCAGCAGAGTGGCTCCAATTAAAGAAGTGAAGATTATTTACTCTCTGTAGGCAGTTTGTTCCTAAGGAGAGATATGGAGATAAATGAAGATGTCTCCTTTATTAAATACAAACTAATTAGTGGCAAGACTAGGAATTAGACTAACTGGACTTCCTCCTTTTCTCTGTCATGTTTATCTGTAATTTTATAATTAATCTACATTAGCTAGGTGGATGATTTCTAGCCATGGAGGATAAGAATTTAGTGGACTTACATATCCTCTGTTGCTTATCCTCTCATTCTCTTGTAATTTTCATTTTGTTAAATAAGAATTCCATATTCAGATTTCAAAATCATATACTTACCATTTTTTTTAGTCTGTAAAAAATTTTGTTTTGTTGGAATTAATAATTATTTCTTCTTTAGTTGGTTTTTAATTCTCTCTTTTTTTTTTTTTTTTTTGGTATCTGGGATCGAACTTGGGTCCTTGTGCTTGCGAGGCAGGCAGGCGGCGGAACCACTGAGCTAAATCCCCGCCCCCATTCTCTTAACACTAATAGAATTCCAAGATTTCCCCAGTTATAATAGTATATTGGTATACTGATGCTTAATCAAATTTACCTTTAAGGTCTAGTCTGGACTTCTTGCGTGTAAGTGCTGTTGCATTAGTAGTCATCTTAATACCTTACTTTCAGCATTAACCTTAGGTTTACTTCATCTTGACGTTGGGTTACATTTCATCACCCAGATGTCTTGTCTTCTTCCTTTTGTTATGTGGAGACATATGCTCTCATATTTGTAGAGCACAGATTCTAATTGCGTCTTGATAAAAAAAGTATGGGAGATAAGTTTGAGAATTTGCTTGCCTGTAAATATCCTTAATTATACTTGCACAGTTAATTCATGGTCTGAATTGAGTGCATAATTCTTTATTAGAAATAATTTTCTTTCAGAATTTGATGGCATTGCTGTTTTGCTTTTAGTGTTAAGAAGTTTGATGCATTTTTAAATCCAATCCAAACCTTTTGTATGAAATCTGTTTTCCCGTGGAAGTCCATAGAATCTTCCTCATAGCTATAATTATGAAGTCATATGATAATTTGTGGTGCCATAGGTCTCTTTGTTTCATTTGTGATAGACATTTACAGGAACTCTTTCAGTCTGGAAGTTCATATTCTATCATCCTAAAAAATTGAATAGAATTATTTATTTGAAGTATTCTGTTTTTACTGTTACAAACTTATTCATAATCCCCGCATTTTCAGCAGTGTGCTTCTGTTCCCAGCTAGGACTGATGAACCCAGTCTGAAATTCCCCAAGAGCTCCAGTCTTTGGCCATTGAGTGATGAGTGCAAGATCAGGCTTTGCAGTAGTATGGAGGTGATCTGAGGGCTTAACTGCTATTTAAGCTGATTTTCCAGAGTCCTGATTGTTCTGTCCCCAGTCTCAGCCTTGCAGCAATATGTATGTGAGCCCCTGGAAGGTCTATAGCATACTTGCTTTGCTGATTTTGCCATTTTTGGCTTTCGATTCCACTTTCTGAGATCTAAGTCATGTATATTAGTTCTGGAAATCTGTGTGTCACTTTTAATGAATTAAATAAGATCTGGTAGCTGGTCTAATGAGCATGATGAATACTAATGAGGAAGAAATGATATTTCTAGTTATTGGCAGAGAAAATGAAATACGAAATTATCTTTGATTTCGTTATATAGTCACAAGGCTATCTAAACTACTGTGGTGTTTTGCTTATATTATGTAAAAGAAAGGGTAAAGTTCAGTTAGAAGAGAATGGAAAATAAATATAAATTCTTTTTTTCTTACCAACTTTCCTGGGAACCTGAACTCTGTCCATGGACCCAATTTAGAACCTCTGAATTAACTAGAGCATAGTGATGTATGGAGCCACAATCATAGTTTTATATGTTTGTTCATCTTAAAGAAGCCTTCAGGGCTGGGGATGTAGCTTGGTGGTAGAGTTCTTGCTTAGCATATACAAGGCCTTGGGTGGTTCAAGCCCCAGCACTGAAAGAAAAATCTTAAAGAGGCCTCTGTACATGCATGACCCTGATCAGCATTTTCACTCATTCAACAAATATTAAGTATCAGATAAGTGTAAGACACTGGACCACGGATGTATTATTTAACAAAACAGAAAAATTCCTGTCTTCATGGAGTTTATGTTTTAAAGGGGTATTTATCGACTAGAGTATAGCCTAGATTAGAATAACCTAGTTTGTGTATACCACTGTCACTTGAAAAGTAACTGAACTTACATATCCTTCTAATACCATCACTTTATTTAAAATAGAACTTGGAACATTTTAATTATAAAAATATTTATTTAAAAAGTTAGAGAAGATTGATAGGCAGAAAGGAAAAAAAACTCTGCAGAGTCACTCATCAGAAATAACCACTGTTAATGCTTTGGCATACCTATCAGTCTCTTTTCTCATATATGAATGTACATTTAGATATACATTTCTTTATAAAGTTGGGTTATGCTTTAAAAACTAGTATGCATTTTTTCATTTATTTTGGTCAATTTTTCAAATTTTAATGGTAGTATAATATTGAATTTTATGAATACGCTGTAATTTATACCTTTAGGTTGTTCCTGCCATCCCTTTTCCCCACTATTAAGACTTAAGAGAAATGAAATGTGAATTTGAATGGTAAGGAATCTAAGTACTCGGTGGACATGTAGTATGAGTTAGCTGAAGCAAGGAAGAAAGTTAGAAGGTGAAAAGTTTTGCACGTACTATACTGTTTTAAGTTATAGATTGCTTCTATTTTATCTCCTTTTAAAAGTAATTTATAAATGTGTTTAGCTCTGGTATGGTTATTTTCAAATAATACAAGAAAATCCTAGTACAATATATGTTGTCTTTGTTATTTTTCTGAGCATTAAGCCAAATCCCTTTGTTTACAGCTGGGATCAAAATGCAGAGAACTCAAAGATATTCATTTTGGCCAGTGTTACAAGATCTCAGATGAAGGCATGATCGTCATAGCTAAGGGCTGCCTGAAACTACAAAGAATATACATGCAGGAAAACAAATTAGTAAGTACTAGTTTTCATCTTCATGGTGTTCATTTTGTTTCTAACCTTTGAATTCCTTAAATTTTGGTTGTACATTTTCTTCTGCATTTTTCTTTTGGTAGTTGAGAGGCAAATACTACTCTTTGAAAACATATTATCTCAAAACATTGAATTTATAAATTAGTTCTGTAACCAAATAGATGCTTTTGTGTGGTATTTGATTTTGAAATAGTCCTCATTAGCATGTGCTAATGTGTCTTTTCTAAATTCTGGCATTAGGCAAATTGGAAAATACAAAATTGATTTGCCAAATATGTCTGTGGTTATATAGTTCTTTTTGATTCCCCTAGGAATTATAATTATTCTAGATAGTTAAGATTTAATGTAAAGTTAAGAGTACACTTCTTAAATAGAGCTTTTTACTTAACATGATGTAAATGAGATTCGATAAGTTGGGTCAGATAGTCTGGATAATTACCTAGATTTTGTATGTTAAGCACATACATTTGTAACTCAGACACATGTATTTAATACATTTAAAAACATTCAATTTCCTTTTACTGGGATGTAATTCACATAAGACCCACCCTTTTTAAAGTGTATTACTCATAAAGTAACAGTTATCACCAATATCTAATTCCAGAACATTTTCGTTATCCTCACAAAGAAACCTTCTGTCCATTAGCTGTCATTTCCATTTCCTCCTTTCTTTAGCACCTGGTAATTGCTAATCTCCTTTCTGTTTCTATGAATTTGCCTATTCTAGACATTTCCTAAAAATGGAATGACTTAATATGTAGTCTTTTGTGTGTAGTTTCTTTCATTACATCATATTTTCGAGGTTCATTGATGTTGTAATCTGTATCAGAGTTTCATTCCTTTTATGACTTGATAATATTCAAAGTCACTTAATTTTCATTTGAAGGTGTACTATGCAAATTAACAGAAAAATGTGTCACAGGGTGACACTAGTTGGAATTTTCAATATTGAAAAATAGTATAATTAAAATGTGTTTTTTAAAGGAATATAAAACGATTGACCACTGATTACCATTATTCACAATAAAGTAAACAATATACAGTAGGAGAACATTCTGACTACTACAAAGTTATTTTTCTGGGTTCTGCTGAAGCAGTAACCCAAATATTGAAGATTGAGCCTACATGTAAGGAAAAAGTTGGGGTCAAGAAAAACATTCAGGTCAATGATTTAGATTATAAGTTTGTTCATTCATTTATTCTAGCAAGTCCTAAATTGTGACCACCTCTAGCCACTCAGTAGGTTTCCATGAGCCAAGTCTTAGACATCTACAAATCTTTACTTTGAGTACAGATTTCAACTTGTAAGGGAATGGGTCATGAGTAATCTTTAATGTTCCCTTAACAAATCTTCCTTAGCTAATTCAAACAAACCAGCTTTTGACTAGTTACCTTATTTGGGTGGGGAAGTTGTTGGTAGTGATAACAATTTTTTTCAGGAATTTTGCAAGCAAACTGCTGTATTTTTGTAGCTAAACACACAGATACGGATTCTGATATGGCTGCTTTGCAAATACCCACTTTAAGCTGTCCAATTAACCACAGAATCATCTATTTAACTTGAAAGGTTATGGCTTCAGGAAAACTTTTAATTTAACTATGATTTATTTCTTAGGTTGCTCAGAATGATGGCATCTCAAACATGGGCTTATCTATCACCCATAGTTTTTGTTTTAGTGAATGTTTAAAAACAAAACAAAAACCATTTACATAAGTATTTTATTTATACACACACAAAAAAATGAGAATGGTCCTTAAGCATGTGAGCTAAAAATGAGTTCTGTTTGAGTTTGACTATGGATAATTACCCCAATATTTAGAAAAGCAGAGGAAATATATCAGGCTATCAAATGCTGATTTCTGATGAAGAACTGCAACTTCAGAAAGCTTTTTATTTGTTCAGAGTAACCAGTGCTATTGATGCGAAACAAACAAAACCCAGCAACTTCTCTGTATACTTTCAGAACCAACATACTAAACTTGATTTTCAATAGAATGCTGTTTTCTTCACACTAGTGAATCAAAAACCAAGACCCATATTTTATATCTGTATAATAGTTTTTATGATTAAATGACATAGTATCTTCAGAATACATAGTATAAATTATTTATTTGAGATATTAATAATCTAGTGGTTTTTATGATAACACTAAATTTGTTAAAATGTTGGTTTCTACTTTACATTAAAAGTAAATTAGGGCTGTGGATTTACCTCATTGGCACCGCGCCTGCTTTGCAAGCGCAAGGTCCTGAGTTTGATCCCTGGTACCAGGAAAAAGTAAATTAAAGGATAGTAACCCTCAACTCAAAATTTTTCTGTTCTTTAAAAATATTTGTAGATTTTGACTAATATTTGTTTTCTTGTGTAAACACAGAGAAACTTTTTTTATAGGCACAGTAAACAATTTTTAGCTAGTGGTTTCCCAAGGAAGCAATTGTTTGGAACTTTTCCTTCACTTTCACTTTAGTTTTTTATCTAATGTTATCATACATTAAAAAGATGTTACTAAGTACTAAGGACATTGGTTCAGGATTTAGTGTAATCCATTAAACATTTTAATTTCCTTGGGAATTTGAAGTAATTTTTCTAAATCTTAAATGTCAATTCAATAAAATTCTCTCCATTAGAAAGAAAAATTTAGAATAATTGGTCTCTATTGGATAACTAAGTTATTGATAACTAACTTCCCATAAAAAATTTATATTCTATCTTTAAAATTTATGAAATAAGAAATATTTAAGTTACTTGCAAAGCTGCAATTTTTAGTAGTTTGGCTATTTTAAAAATAAGTTTTTTTATATTAGCAACTAAGGTAGGTTTTTATTTTTTATTTTTTATTTTTTGGTACCGGGGATCGAACTTGGGACCTTGCGCTTGCAAGGCAGGCGCCGGAACCACCGAGCTAAATCCCCAGCCCTAAGGTAGGTTTTTAGAACAGTGTACCTGAAAGGATACCAAAAGAATTCTACCTATGCTTTGACAAATACTCATAATTCGACTGTTTTCTTAGAGAGTTCTGGAGCTTCGTAGCATAGTTTAAAAAATCATTATTTTCTTTTTTTAAGTGTAAACTTTGCTGACTTGAAATAGCAAGTTGATTGGTTTTTGTATATTGGCAATATTTGATTTAGCAAACATCTCTTCATATTATATCTTGGCCTTTAGATGGCAGCATTGTCTTTGTATATTTTGGTGATAAAGCTTTTGTGTCCTTGATGTAACTTTAAAGATAAAATGCTTATACAGTTTCTGCTGATGTTATGCTTCATTTTTAGGTTTTGTCCTTTAGATGGTCTTAAGGGAAAAATTTCCTTTTCAAGTCATTTGAAACATCTAGTTGTATCTAGTTGATCAACAGGACAAACGACCATTTTACATGAAGTAGCAAGATATTTGAACATTCTTACTTTTGGCCCTGGTTTAAGCAGAATAAGTTTTAGAGTAGGGAAAGGATTCTTGTGTTTATCAGATGAAGAAGTTTTTTCATGTGGAAAATGAGGGAAATAATTTGATCTTTTAAGACTCAAATAAGTTACGATGAAACAAAGAATTAAGGACCTACATTCAGAATCTTCTCAAAAGAAAGTAAGTTTCTGTCTCAGTCATTTTTTGAGTAAGACTAGTACCATGTACCTACATAGATGCATTTTATGTTTGCTGTAAAAAAAACTTATGTAGACTCTAGATATAGGTTTGAGGAATTCAAGTGTAGTGAGAGTCTTAGCATATTGTATGCATCTGTCCTTTAGAGATAGCTTTTATGTCATTTCTGTGTAGTACTTGCCAGAAAGCTATTTTAAGTCATATTTATTAGACATTATTTTGGTTCATTTTCTGTTGCTATGACAGAATACTTGAGATTGAATAACTTACAAAAAATGGAGATTTATAGTTCTGTAGGCTAAGAAGTCCGAGAGCGTGATACCAGCTGGTGAGGGCTATCGTTCCATGTAATCCTGTGGCAGAAGGTGGAAAGGCAAGGGAGAAAGGAAAAGAGAGAAAGGTTGGGTTAGGGAGGGAGAAGCTGTGAAAAAACAAGCAAGGGGGGAATCGAAGTGGCTTTTATAACAATTTCACTCTTGTGATAAATAATGAGTTCTCAATGTAGCAGCATTAATAAGTTACTAAGGACAGTTCTAATGAACTAATCACCTTTTAGTAGGCCCCACCTCCCAGTGGTGTTGCATTGGAGATTAGATTTCCAACACAAGGGTCCCATTCAAACCATAGCAGTTGTATAGTTACTGGTGATCTGGAAACCTCTTTCTCTGCTTCTTTAATCTCCCTGTACCAGATTCTGCTTTTCTGCTTTTTGGACATACAAGCTCTTGGGCTGGCTTCATATTTGGTTGTAAAATGATGAGCTCAGATAGATTCTCTCTCATTTGCTATACAACCTAATGTTTTAAAGTACTGGGATTTTGTGATTTATTTCAAGTATAACTTCTGTGATAACTCCTAGGGTCAGCTTATTTGTTACGGATTTGTATATTTTATGTGTGTCTTTGGTCTGGTGTTATTTAAAATACCTTTTACTCTGAAGAATTGAACTACTATAGATTTCTCAATCAAGAAAATACTAATGTATTATGAAAAGATTTTATTTTAGAAAGTTTCAGGGAAATGATAGAGGTATTCTAGTTAATTCTTGATGCCTGAAAGTTAATTTTGATCTTATATTTTTCAGTCTCCTGGTTGACTGATACTTGACTAGTTTTATAATTTTGTTATATTTATTAGAAATCTTTGGCTGCTAGTATAATAATATTGTTTTAAATGTTACTATCCTTTGGAGGCTTACATGGATGAGGTAGAAACTAAATTTGCCTCTTTAAAATTTCTTCTGCCGGACTGGAAGCTGGTTAGGAAGAGATTGATGAAAATGTCAATTTTGAATCACACTGAGCACAGTTCAAACCTAGATCCTGCTGTTTCTTACTGATGTGACTTCGGTTAGTTATCTTAGTTTTTGTGCCTTCAT